ACACACACTCACACACACTCACACACACACACACTCTCACACACACACACACACACACACACACTCACACACAAACACACTCTCACTCACACACACTCACCCTCACTCACACACACACACACACACTCTCTCTCACACACACACACACATCATTTACTCACCTCACACAGGCTGCTTCTGTGAAAAACAAAACGAAGAATCGTCAGATCCATCTTTAATATGTCCGTCAAGTGCCAAAAATGACAAAACGCCACATCGGAGTATCTTAACAGCAGCCCCAGTGCTCCCTTTTCCACTAAAATATTCACTTCTGTTTGAACTGCTGCAGCTATAACTGTGACTGCTTTCATGCTGTAGTTGGGTCTTGATGGACTGGTGGCTTTGAACTCGTGTGGAAAAGAGTTGCGTGAAGATTCATTCATCTCGGTGATGGCAGAATTGTGTTGGATTTTTCCTGAACTCTTCTTCTAAGCTCGCGCACACACTCTCCCCACATTCCCCCGTGTGTGTGTTTCTGTTCAGACTCCTCAGAAGCGCAGCAGGTGTGGTGACGCTACTGTTTTTACACGGATGACGTCAGTCGATGTGGAGTTCTGCTGTGATGGATGCGCACTGGTTTTCTCTCTCTCTCTCTCTCTCTCTGGTGTAAAACAGTGTTGGATCATCTGGGACCAGCTTTTCTTTCTCGAAGCTCGAGGCGTCTGGAGTCTGATTCTGTCCAACAGACATCAGGATCAATCTCACAAACAATATGCCCAGATCATAATAATTCACACTCAAATCAACAGGAAAAAATAGGAAATTATTATTTTTTGCATAAAGAAACGGAAGTCTGTTCGGCATTTTTTTTTTGCAACATTTGATATCACCAGGTCTTTTCTATGGACACTCATTTCTGCCACATGATCAAAAGTAAAAGAAGTAATTATAGAAGATAGAAGAAGTAATTGCGACTTTTTTTCCCTCACAGTTCTGAGTTTTTTTTCTTTCCTAATGTTCAGAATTGTGAGATGTAAACTCGCAACTGTGATATAAAAAGTTTCAATTAGGCTACCTTTTTCATTTTTTATCCTGTGGTGGAATCAAATATTTGTGAGTCAAGTTTGTGCGATATACACTCCGAAGTGTTCGATATAAACTTGCAATTGTTAGAAAATATGTCAGAATTGTGTGTTAAAATTATCTTTTTTTTTACATTTTGAATTTTTTTTTACATAATTGTTTTTAGAAAACCATTGGTTTAACTCAACCTATCAAAACCATCCGTGCCGTAAAATGACGCAGAGAATAAACCATAATTCCTGGACGTTTTACTTTTGATTTGTGTTTTCTGTTTTTCAATATCAATAGTGATTCTCTTTAGATTCTCATGACTGTAATACACTGATATAAATACATACATAATGTATATAGATTTTGACATTTAAATATACTTTTTTTTTTTTTTTGCCTTTCATTAATAATATTTGCAGCTAAAAATGCAGAAAATCTCAGTGGTCTGAGAAACCGGCTTGAACTATGATATCTGGACCGGTTCTTTACAGTGAGATTCATCCGCCTGTATTTTGAAGTGTTGGTTGCCTTAACTTGTGTTGTTTTATTGGTTTATATTGATCTCGTCTGGCTGCAGCTGATTTTAAACCCAGTCACATTCACTCGTTTCTGTGCGTCATCAGTCCAGTTCGACAGGAGCGCCGTGTTTTAGGGATCATGGAGTTTGGAGATCAGCTGCGTTTCATTCCATTGGAGTTCATTTATCCTGTACAGTCGTCTGATCTCTGGTCTGTGGACAGTGACGTATCGTAACATGATATTAGCCGTTAAAAGTGTTTTCGTTGCGTGATGATGTACATTCTGTAAATATGACTTATATGAAGTACCACGTTTAAAAGTTGTTTTCTTAAATGCTGTTGTAAAGGTATATCAGATTTTAGAGAGACGATATCTTGACAGATACAGAGCTTAAAGTCACACTGCAAAGAAACACATCTGAATTTCAGACCGTCATGTCTTTTTATTAAATTACAAACGTGGAAACATCAGTCGGCGTGTATCTGGTGTCATTTATGGTTTATATTTCTCACACATCACAAGCTCACGTGCTGCAGGACAGTAAAAGTTATCAGTCGTCATAAATGCTAAATAACCTCTGGTGCTCTTCACTCATTTTTCACTGAAATATTTTATGTTTTTTTTTTTTTATGTTTTACGTCATTGGAATGGTACGAAACTTGGTAAGGATTTGTGAACGCACACAAAAAAATAAAGGATATGATTTGAAAAGGTTAAATGGACCTGAAAAATAGTCACACTTGTACTGTTTGCGGTCAAATATGACCACGTTAGAATGAGAAATGAATTTCATCTAGTGGAAGTGTTTGGTATTGCGCTCCAAACAAACTCTCTGACTGAAAGCTCTTTTTTTTTTTTTGTAATATCAACCTCAAATTTGGAACACAACTTCTTTAGATTTATGGCTTTGATTTTCATGTTCAGTTTTAGAGTAAAACATGTTTTACTTACAAACTTTTCACTTCAGCAATAATCTTAAAGAAGTGTTTTCTTTTAAAACAGACCAAGTCAAGTGACCTTTATTTGTATAGCACTTTATACAGTACTGATTGTGTCAAAGCAGCTTTACAGTGTTAAACAGGACAACAGTTTGTCATTTTCCAGCTAAAGTCAGTTGATTGATGATTCAGTGATGTCTTCATCCAGTTCAGCTCTCTTCAATAGTGTCTGTGCAATCAGACGAGCGTCCCCAACTAAACAAGCCAAAGAAACCAAAACTCCATCGCTGACAGAAATGGAGAAAATCCTTGGGAGAAACCAGGCTCAGTCGAGGGCCAGTTCTCCTCTGACCAGACCAAACCAGCATGATGTGGGTTAATTCCAGGCTGCAGGGCCGGCCCGTCGCATAGGCGAAATAGGCAAATGCTAGGGCCGTCGTCCATCCATAGGGGCACCCAAATGAGTTGTTTTTTTTTAAATAATAATATTATTTTAATTAGGGGTGCACTTATATCGAAATATGCCATATCGCGAATGTTGCGATTTAATTAAATAAAAATACCTATGCGCTGCAGTTTTCAGAGTGAAGTGGTAATGTGTTCGAGTGCATCCCATGACACGCAGTGCTTCACTCTGAAACATGCAACGCATTTATTTATTTGCTGGCAAACCATTGAATTTGAGCAGAGATGCACCCATCGGCCATAAATGGCATTTTCCTTTCATCTTGCCTCTGTATAATGCATTTAGTGTTTACAGCGGTAATCAAGGAAACAATGCATCACTGCTGTTCCCTAAGCGCCACCTGCTGGCAGCTAACCATATTCTTCATGCATTCTTTCATGTCTTTTGCTTAAATAAAATACATTAAAAACCAGTATTGGATTCTGCCATGAAAAGTTAAGATCGGTGCATCCCTAACTTTTAGAATGTCTGAAATTAAGAAATTAAGATTTAAATGTTAGTATTGCAGCTGCCTTTGGATGATAAAGTTCTCTCATTTAAATAGCTGAGTTAATGTCAGTTTATTCATTTTTTTGTGTGTGCAACCGTCTTATTTTCATATGTAAATGGTTTTATGTCATAAAGCTATAATAATAATTCCTTACATTTATATAGCACTTTTCTAGGCACTCAAAGCGCTCTACATTGTCAGGGGGTATCTCCTCATCCACCAGCAGTGTGCAGCATCCACCTGGAGGATGCGACGGCAGCCATAGTGTGCCAGAACGCTCACCACACACCAGCTTACTGGTGGAGAGGAGACAGAGTGATGAAGCCAATCAGCAGATATGGGGATTGTTAGGAGGCCATGATGATCAGAGGCCAATGGGCGAGTTTGTCCAGGATGCCGAGGTCACACCTCTACACTTTTCGAAAGACATCCTGGGATTTTTAATGACCACAGAGTCAGAACCTCGGTTTAACGTCTCATCCGAAGGACGGTGCTTTTTACAGTATAGTGTCCCCATCACTATAGTGGGGGGCTAGGACCCACACAGACCACAGCACCCCCTGCTGGCCTCACTAGCATCTCTTCCAGCAGCAACCTAGTTTTCCCAAGAGGTCTCCCATCCACGTACTGACCAGGCTCAACCCTGCTTAGCTTCAGTGGGTAACCAGTCTTGGGCTACAGGGTGATATGGCTATGCTATGCAGTTTCTGTGTGAATGATCGGCGGTGGAATAAGCTGCGATGCAAGGGGCACCAACTAAAATCTTGCCTAGGGCACCAAATTGGTCAGGGCCGGCCTTGCCAGGCTGCAACACAGGTGCAGAGGACTCGTCTGGTTCCCGTGGTCTTGTGCCAATGGTCATCAAGGTGACGAGGTCTTCACTGGGGATCTGTCTCTGGGGTGCATCTAGTTGTCCTGGTCTCCGCTGTCTTTCAGGGCTGTAGAGGTCCTCTCTAGGTGCTGATCCACCATCTGATCTGGACACGTTTATTCCAGAGTTTGGGAGCTAAATAGGAAAAGGATCTTCCACCCGCAGTTGATTCTGATATTCTAGGTATTATCAGATTGCCAGAGTTTTGAGAGTGCAGTGGACGTGGAGGACTATAATGTAACAAGAGCTCGTTCAAATACTGAGGTGCTAAACCATGCAGGGCTTTATAATTAATAAGCAAGCTTTTAAAATCTATAGGATGTTTAATAGGGAGCCAGTGCAGTGTTGACAGAACCGGGCTAATATGCTCATACTTCCTGGTTCTAGTAAGAACTCTAGCTGCTGCATTTTGGACCAGCTGGAGTTTGTTTATTAAGCGTGCAGAACAACCACCCAATAAAGCATTACAATAATCTAACCTTGAGGTCATGAATGCATGGATTAACATTTCTGCATTTGACATTGAGAGCATAGCTCGTAATTTAGATATATTTTTAAGATGGAAAAATGTGGATTTACAAATGCTAGAAACATGGTTTTCAAAGGAAAGATTGCTATCAAATAGCGAGCCCGGTCTCATGAAAATGCATATAAATAGTACGCCAAATAAAAACGAAAACTTGTGGTATTGATACACAAAAATGGACATACTATTTATACGCACTTTCATGAGATCGGGTTGCAAATAAATCAGGGTATCTTCCGTCCAATCAATTTTTGTTTTAATATTGAAATCTGAAAAATGAAAAACGGCACATATTTCGTTTTTCAATTATTCAAACAAAACGAAAAATCAAGAATCCGGCTTAATTTTTTGTTTTTACATTCAGGGATAGAAAACGAATAAACAACTTGAATATTGGATCTCTACATGTGGGCGGGAATGAAACGCCCCTCTCTGCTAATTGGTCAACCAAACATTACAACATAATAATAGTCCTAAAAAAACCTTAATAATAGTCCTCCGCTTCTATTGATTCTTAACATGTTTATTTCTACTACATTTGATCTCTTCATCAAACAGCCAGATTAATGAATGGCTTGACACAAACCATACTGAAGCAGAGCCTTTTGGCCCTAGGCATGCCTGTTTTATTATAGTTATCCACCCATTAAAATCTGTGTGGCAAAGCTGCTCAAAGATAAACTCATATACTGTAAGTATCGTCAAACCTCTGATTTCAGACACTTTTATTAAGCTCTTTTTATTTTATTAATGCTCAGTAAATTCAACGAGCAGTGGGAAGTCAGGAGCTACATGTCCGCATGTTGTGTGATGATGAACATAAGACAGTTGTAGATTTACATTTGTGTATTTGTGCCAAGTGTCTTGTTATATGGAATCACCTCAGACTTTGCATTTCAGTTCACAACATTTTATTAAAAGAGCAAATAAAAAAACATCAAAGATAGTTTTATAATATGCATGCATTAAAAAGATCTAATAGTACCATGTTCATTCTATAGATCTGCAAGAGTAGTTAACGGTTTCATGTCTACATAGATTTTAAACAGCACCAACAAAAAACACACTATATCAATACTAGTACAAAATGGCTACGTTTACATGCAACCAAATAATCGGTTTGCAATCAGATTGATGGCTCTCATGTACAGACTTTAATTGATCCGATTGAGCTCGATCGGAATGATATTTCGATCGGATTGAAGAGGGTGGTTCATTCCTTTTCTAATACGATTGAGAGTGCATGTAAACACTCGATCGGATTGAACCCCGAAACTGAAAGCACTGCGCATGTGCAATGATGCAGAAATAGCGTAATGATGCATGACGTGCGGAACGAGCGGTTCTTCCTTTTGAATAAAGTGTTGTATAAATGCATGTCCTGTCATTATAAACTCTCCTTTCACTCGGCGACTGTGAAGTGGAGCAGGACAACCTCCCACCAGTCCTTGTTTCGGATTCTCATCCACAGGCAACACGTCTTGGGCATTTTTACTGTGTGATAAATATCAATTCTGCTGTTAAAAACAAATAAAGAAACAGTATAGGAGAGTGGTTATTATGTGCAAACAGTGAGACACTCTATATTTGTGCAGTCCGATTTGAAGCTTGTGACATATAAACGCGCACATCAACCCCATCGCTTGCTTTAGTGTTCATGTAAACACTACATTCAGATTCAATCGGAAGGAATTCAGGCCGATTTAACCAAAAATGTGCATGTAAACATAGCCAATGAGACATTCATGTATTTACAGAACAGTTTCACGCATGCGGAACAACAGAGCTGAAATAAAAATCTAACGCATGACTTTATCACAGAATTAGCTCTGACATATTAAAACATCATATTAAAACATTTGCACATGTATGTAGATTCGTTTGGCCCTGGTAGCTGCCTTTGTATTTACATGATTAATAATCAAAAACTTATTTTACTGTCATTTTTCTCAAGGGTCTTTATTCCTGTTGTACCGACTGTAGGCAGACGTTTTCAATATAATATAAAATAAAAAAAACAACAACAACAACAAAAAAACCTTGCTACGTGTACTGCGTTAAGCTAACTGAGGCTTGTTATAGCACTTACATATCATTGCTCTCTTGTTGATTTCGATTGCTTCTATTGTCCTCATTTGTAAGTGGCTTTGGATAAAAGTGTCTGCTAAATGACTAAATGTAAATATAAATGTATTTTTTTATGCATGCAGGGGGGTCCAAGAACCAGCCGGGGGGGGCCCATGGGAAAGTCATGTGGCCCAACACAAGTGGGATGACATAATAATGGCACTGCACAGGTGCCTTTAATCTCTGAAACAACAGGAAGAAACGCAACATAATGATTTTTATTTTAAGCGGTGCTGGACTGCTGGTGCATCACGGCTGAGTAACACAAAGCACAAACTCTAAGGAGCTTTCAACATACATTAACGTATTTCAATATATATAGTATAGCCTGTGAAATCGCGCTTCTCCTGTTTGAGCTGTGTAATTGACAGTACTCTAATCCAATGGTGTCGTGAATATACGGGAAATGATTGGCAGTGAACCAGACAGTGAGTAGGTGTGTTCTACTTCAAGCGGCGCTATGCTGCCGATTAGTGTATCACATCAGCACGTGAGATTTTTTAAATGCACCTGAATTGCTCCAGATCGTATACTCGGATCAGTCTGCGCTGTTGGGGGGCACAAGGGGGGGCTAATCATATTTTTAGGGGGGCCGGTGCCCCCCCCCATGCCACCCCTTTAGACACGCCCCTGTATGCATGTATGTCCTTCTGCTTAAACTGCATGAGTCAGTCAGGCGTCTGAGCTGTTATTGCTCAGTAAAGGTTGACTGGATTGAGGTGATTCTACAGGTTCTGGATTATCACTGGACTTTACAGCTGATTCTACAGGTTTTGGACAATCCAGGATTTTAAGTGTACTCAGATCACCTGCACCAGGATTGAAGAGAGGAACAACTGATCCAGAGAATCTGCTGCTGATGGTCAGGAGATGTTTACTCTCTTTGACGTTGTAAAATGCCAGCAGACCCTCATCATAATCGAACAGAACTCCCAGTCGCTCAGGTCTCGGTGTCAGTGAGAAGCTAATCGATGGATCAGTGTTGGTGTGAAAGCCTTGAGGACCGTCTGAACACAAGAACCAGAAACCAGCTGATGGAGTTAAAGCAGATCTGTCTCTTGCAGTAAAATGTCCATGTTTCACCACACCGATTAACCAGAAGTTTTTGGGAGCTGTATTTGTTTGTACCAGCTGTACCTCCCAATAGTGACGACCAGAGGTGAATCTTTGGGCTCCGAATGCACATAATTCAAATGGAAATCCCTCTCCAGTGTGCTGATAATCTTTACTGTCCCTCACGGTTTTACAGTCCTTAGAAAGCTTCAGACCTGGATGTAAACGCTCACGGTCAATAGTGATCTCAACTGTGAGGAATAAATACACGAGCAACAGTTATTAATCCTCATGTATGAGATGATGTTTACACATATGATGAAATATATGAATACATAACTGAGATGATGTCATACCTGCATGTTTCCTCAGTTCTTCTATATCGATGTCCTCCACAACTACAATAAAAAACATATTATTTGAGATTTATATTTATTTATTCATGCAATAAAGTTATGTGCAATAACCTTATATTTATTTGTTACCACCTGCGTCCCTGCATCTCTATTCTGTTCCTATTCTATCATCTATAGCACAACTGTACATACAATTTATTTAATTAAAAAAAAAATCCATTTCTTTTTGCTATTTTTGTCTATTTATATTTACATTTGTGTGTATTTTTATTCTCATCTTATTTTTATTGTCTGTGTGTGGTTGTTGTCTGTGTGTACTGGAAGCTTATGCCACTAAAACAAATTCCTTGTATGCGCAAGCACACCTGGCAATAAAGCTCTTTCTGATTCTGATTTCAGACAGGGAAAACATTATAGCTGTAGCTAACATTTAAAGTTATCAGTATCTAACAAAAAATGAGTATAATCGTCCAATATGAGAAGTGCATGATGCTTATGTGACTGTGCGAGTGTTGCAGATGAATCCATGCATTATGATCATTTTACATGTTGAAGTTATACATTTGATTTTATTCACATTATTTATTATATTCACACAGCATTTGCATAAAAAAAATGTTTTACGAGGGCTGTCCGGAAATTTCGCAGCCAAGAAGATACAAAATACAAGAAACATTGTACATAGGACAGTCAGCAGTTGCCCATGCGTTTTTGTCATCTCGCATCTCATCTCATTTTATTTATTTATTTACATATTAAATGTTCGGATACTTTCCGGACAGCCCTTGTATACTGTATTTGCAGTAGTTTGTCAAATATACATGTAGAATTACAAAACTGACTGTTTTGTCCATTTTATTTCCACTCTCACCTACTCCATTATTCCACTGAGTCACCAAAACCTGTTCTGCTTGTTGTTTTCTGCTGCAGTGTGCATGTAGATGTTTATGTCAGCAGTTACAGTTCTTATAAACATATAGCAAAGAACAAACGTCTTCAAATACCTTCTTTTCTCAGTCTCTCCAGAGTTTCCTCCTCACAAACTGAAATGAGAGAAAGTTTAATTATCTGCTTCACAAATACTCCAGACTCTCTAAACCACATTACATTACAGTTTAACCTCTCAGACATTGACTGGCATAAAAACATCTTCTTTAGCTGTCTCAGAAACAGGCATGTTCTCCCAGTAACACGGTCTGAAAGGGTTCATCAGATTCATGAATAAGTTCATGTCACTTACCTTCTGTAGCTGGTTTCTTTCCTGCAGAACAGATCAAAAATATCAACACATGAGATATGCATGAAACAAAAACCTCCTGAAAACCACATCTTTAAAATCTTTCAGCCAGATTGTACCTGTTAGTTTCTCTCTGTATTTGTAGAGGATCAGCCCAACCAAACCCAGAAGAGCACAGATGAGAAAAGTGAGGAAAAGAGCCTTCCATGAACCTGATGGATCTGAGAATTAGAAACCAGATGAATCTAAACACCTTCAAAATATATAAATCAATTACAGTAAAGTAGAAACATATTTTTAAAACTCTTTTAACATAAAAATGCTGTTTGCAACCCATTTTTCTTCTAAAACAAGACTGAGAACATCTCGGTTATGTAAGGAGGGAACGGAGACAATCGATGAATTGGGATCTCGCTTAGAGAGACCAATCCACTTAGAGTGTAAACTAAACGAGCCAATGCACATTGGCATGCGATGATTGCATTCAGGTGCCGCTGATCACAGCGTGAGCATAAAAAGGCAGCAGATGCTACGCATACCAGGTTTTCAGGTGACCCGGCCGCTCAGCTGTGGTGACGGGATGTGACTGACGTCTCCATTCCCTTCTTCAGGGAACAAGGGTTCCATACGTAACCGAGACGTTCCCTTTCAGTCGGTCACTACGAGTC